GAACAACATGGCGGTAACGATCGCTTCAAGTACTAGTAAGGGACTTTCTAGGAGATACACTCTACAATTTTGGTGATTCTTCAGAAATCGATAACAGAATATATAATACTAGTCGGTGAAGATTGTGGAAAATTGTTGATACCGTGGCGCGCCGTGCGCCGACAATACACATTACGTACCGTTGTTTACAGTACTCGCGGGGCGCAGGTCATTGACCTCCCGCTTGCGTTGTTCCAACAGAGAAGAGCAAAATATCTGCCAGTTTTTGCGTCAGATTTTCAGTGTTTGTTAAAATCATATACAGGCATCCATGCAGCTATAATTCTTCCAACTAGTTCGTAGTTAGGTGAAATGTTTATAGGAATCACACGAATCGGTATCCAATATCAGAGTATGGACCGCGTGGACCAGCTGCGCTGGTACGTGAAAAATGGTAGTAAATAAATTAATTAGCCAACAGCCAATCAACAGCCACATCTGCAAACATGACCACACCTGCTTGTATGCCCATATTTGGGCCTTCCCCCGAATTCCTTTCTTATTACGTCACGCGCGTACGCCCCCATAGTACTTTCCTATGGGGACCACTAAAAAGCAAATAAAACGATTGTAAAAGCTTGTATCAAAAAAATTTAAAAAACGCCTAAGGGTATTTACCCACTCTACCTCTATACGAAATTACAGGTAATTTCGCCCAAAAATGAAGGAGTTGAATCAATTTAAAGATATGGCAGGAGGAGGAGGAGGAGGAGAAGGAGAAGAAACATCAGAAAAAGCAATATGGGTTCACCACCACTTCGTGGTGTGGTGAACCCATAATGATAACATTTGCAAAACAAATGCATAATGTTAACTTTCGCATAGGTCTGCTCTTTTAATTCTTATTCAAACACATTCATATATGGTCAGACAGGAGTCTAAATCCTCCCTTAAAATTGCAACATTATGTACCCCAATTGACACCAGTTACCATAGCGACTAGAGAATGATTTTTTTTAATATGTGGTTTGTAACGTTATAGTGGTAACGCTATACTGATGCTGTAACGTTACAAACTTCATTCTCTATTTGTTGTCAGATTCGCCCCATAGTAGCTTAATGGACCTATACCATTATTACGTCACAGTTTGTTTACCGCAATGAATGCCGGTCAATGGACGTTTATATTGTACAGGGGTGCGTAGCGTGGTGTGTGTTTGTGTAACGTTAGCCTAATATAAGGCTTTTAATACAGTACTACTTTCGTCTAATGTCACAACTAAATCACCCATGCGGCATGTAATGCTGTGTCAACACAACTAGAGGCAGCAAAAATCAGATATACCTTACTTTGAAAACTTTGAAATGATCTTTATTCTTTAACTGACCGTTCTAGAATGTTCTTTAGAACAGGTAAACAAACTGTGACGTAATAATGGTATAGGTCCATTAATGTTGAGCATAAAATGCCCCAACATCAAAACACAGTGAAAAGCAAGCTATATAATGTCAACAGGATCATTCCGAAGCCTTCTTGTCCTATGCAAATGAGGTTTAGACCCCTGTTTTTGCAATGCATTCTGGGGATGGGAAACTCGTGAATGATGGACAAAGGGGACTGGAGGGAGAGAGTCTAGGACTGTGAACCCCCGACATGATGACGATGATCAAAAATAATGTTGCCACAGCCTTGTACATGTATGTCAAAAATTCCATTTTAATTTTTTTTTGTCTCCACACGTAGACTAATGTGACGTTATTGATAGCAATATTGTGTTCTACATAAGCCTTCAGAGAATTTGAACAAAGAAAAAAATTGTGACTTATGTGATGAAAGAGTGAGGCCCTGTAAGTTGTACAGTTTGCGAAATACACTTATGTGCATTATATATTTATTATGTTAATTATTTCAATCATCTGTAACGGATACATGCAATTTTAAGGCGTGATAGAATTGCTTTTGAATAGGTAAATGATTTGTTTAATATTATAAATAAATGATACTTTTTAAATGTTTGTAATAGAACCTGCAATTCAGCCAATAGGCTGTGACAGAGTTTCTCAGTCTGAATAAACCATTCATTCATTCCTTAATTTATGTATTCATTCATTCCTCAGGACTTTGCGGGAAGCGGCGTGGTGCACGTGTCCGGGGGGACTGCTGCCCTGATGGGGGCCTTGGTGCTGGGCCGCAGAAAGGTGGCCAAGGATGTTGAGGAGCACGCCATCTCTGAATCTTCTCCAGCCCTGGTCACCTTGGGTAAGAAACACAGCAATCATTCATCCTGCACCTCTCGTATAAAGAAAATAGTCATAATCATTGCCGCTTCTGACAAACTTTCATGTAAATATAGAATACAACACGGGGTATTCCGTATCACCCAAGGTATCGGCCCGACCGCGGGTCGGATTGCCCAAAGGGCGATCCGACTCGCGGGAGGGCCGGGACCGAGGGCGATGCGGAATACCCCGTATTTTATTTTTATTTATGTCATACCCACCCTTGAGGCTAGTCACGATTTCGGGTATTTTTTTCTAATAACAAAGCAGTGTTTTATACATATTTACCTATTTTTTGTATTATGGGAATCATTACATGTAAAGGTATATCTAAATCTGTCCCTAGCACTAAGACTCTTGAAATCTTGTTTAGAGACATGTAAATATAGCTTATTAAGTAAAACATATTTAATACATTCCATAACAAGGTGAAATCCATTTTCAATATGCTGTTTTAAACAGGCTTCTTCATCCTGATGGTCGGCTTCTTAGCCTTCAATGGCAGCTCGCAGGGTGCGATATCTCATCCCGGAGACGCTGGTGCCATGGCCCGCTCAGTTGTGAACACTAGTCTGGCCTGCGCGTCTGGTGGTCTAGCCACCATTCTGTTTGAGCGTCTGGTTCACAAGAAAATCAATGACTATTACGTGCTGTGCATCGTAGTGAACGGATGCCTGGGAGGAACTGTAAGTGTGGCGTTTGTATGTGGGGGTTGTGTGGCGTAACGGCAGAGTGCTGGACTCGGAACCAAGAGGTCCCGGGTTCGAGTCCTGACATTCCACTGATCTTATGCACTTTTCATGACTTTCCTCACTTAACTCAAGTATTGTCCTGTCCTGTATTTGTCCACTGCGTTGGTGGCAGTATAAAATAAGTTAATATAACTTGAGTGTGCCGTCACCATGTCTAGTCATAAAATGTTGGAATAAAAAATGTAAGCACGTCTAGATATGCCAATACAGTTGTTGTAGTAAATGTACATGCTGACTTATGCTTCTGAATTTTATTTGCCCAGCACTTGCCAGTTGACTAAAAATGGCTTCATTTTTAATCTAGGTGGCAGTCTGTGCTTCGGCCAACGTTATAAATACGTATGGTGCTCTATTCATCGGATCTACAGGTGCCATTATCCACTGTCTGTGGTCCATTTCCCTGCACAAGTATACATCCATTGAGGACCCTGTCGATGCCACCGCAGGTAAGAATCGTACTGACGTTGTAAAAATTACTAGTTTTTGGCATCACTTCAATTTGACTTATATTTAGTGAATCAATGCTAGTTCCAAAGTCGAAATAAACATTTTGAAATGGTGCCCCTGGGTTGGTTTTTCTGAGCAGTGAGAGTGGAATTACTACTTTAGCATTTGGTGTTTCAAGAACAGAAAACTGACAGAAAACCTGTTATGCCGAGGTCACATTTCCAAATCGGGACCCTGCCGGGCTGTTTGTACGAACGAAAAACTAACAATTCATGTCAAGAATATACAGGAATAGTGGCCATGATTATTATCGAAAACTTTCTGTGTTTCCTTGTCGTTTAAATCGTACTTTTCGTTCCATAAGACTGCCCGGCCGGGCCCCGGTTTGGAAATGTGACCTCAGCATTAACTCCAGTCTGTCTACCCTGTATCTTCCCACAGTGCACCTGGCACCTGGAATTTGGGGTGTATTTCTTGTCCCCTTCTTGGATAGGAAAACTGGTATCTTCTACTGCGGCTCTGCTGGACAGTACGATGCCTGGCGCCAACTGGGAGTCAATGTGGCCGGAATTGTGGCCATCATTGCGTACAGTGCGATGACGACTTTTGTCATCTTCACCAGTAAGTCGATCTGGCCCTTTTCCTTGAACGGCAGTGCGCGGTAAAAAAAAACGCTGTTTCGGTTCATGTTTGAGTTCACATTTCTCATAATCTGCTGCAAAATGGCATTAGTAGTAGTAGTTATTTTAATAGCTAAACTCTGTTCTCTTAAAACGTATTATAAATGAATACAGAAGTATAAATCAGGTTCTAAAGGTTCTGATATGCATGTATAACTGGCCTAGTCACAAGTCTTCTTCCTGCCTTTCCTAGTCCTTGACAAGGCTAAACTGCTACGATCACACCAAGAGAAGTTGGACCACGCGGAAGCCCTTCGGATTCATGAGGAGGAGCTGCGCCAACAACAGGCACATGGATATTTCCACGATGTTGTCCACGACTATGGGCCGGACATGAAGGTAATAGTCCTGTAACATTAGTACGTCACAGATTGTTTACCGCAATGAATGCCGGGACAGTTTGTCGTCAATAGCCGGTCATATTGTACTTATTGTACTGGGGTGTGTACAGGGGTGCCAGAGTATACAGTGCAATTTTACGGTATACAGTGTAATTTTACAAGTATACAGTGCAATTTTACGGAATACAGTGCAAGTTTACTAGTATACATTGCAATTTTACGGAATACAGTGCAATTTTACTAGTGACTTTGAATCACGGGACTTGGACCCGGCTTTCCCTACTTTCTCAGTTTCAAAATGGCGGACGCCGCTGACTCACATATTTCTGTCTTTTTCGAGCGAATTCGAAATGATCCCTGTGTAGTAACATGCCCTGTGTGTAGTATGTAGTGATTAGTATTCCGCAAAATTGCACTGTATACTAGTAAACTTGCACTGTATTCCGTAGAATTGCACTGTATACTAGTAAAATTGCACTGTATACTAGCAAACTTGCGCTGTATACCGTAAAATTGCACTGTATACTCTGGCACCCCTGGTGTAGCGGGGTGTGTGTTTGTGCAGCGTTAGCCTTACTACTTTCGTCTACTGTCACAACTAAATCACCCATTACGCCATGTAATGCTGTGTCAACAAAACTAGACCCTGCAAAAATCAACCACACCTGACTTTGAAAACTCAAGAAATGATCTTTATTCTTCAACTAATCGTTCTAGAATGTTCTTTAGAACAGGTAAACAAACTGTGACGTAATGATGTAATAGGTCCATTATATATCTCATGCATACCCACACAGACATCTCAGCACATTCGTATCATATATTCTTGGTAGTCCTCCAGGAAATAAAATAAATATTCCTAATAAATAGCACATCATTTTATCTTAAAACCTATTTAGTCCCAGCTGTCCACTGACTGTTTTATTCTTCTTGACTATTTCTTTATCTGAGCAGTCAGAGCCCACAAAGAGTGTCTCCTCTGTCTTTGCTGATGCCAGTGCTGAACCAAGTGAGACTGAACTAGTCTTCAGAGGCCAGGAAGCATCTGTTATCAGGGACACCGTGGTGTAGACAACTCACAGCACAGCTGGAATTCTTCGAATTCGAAAATCATAGCAGCATCTAACATCGGACAGTTATTGTACATAATCATAATTATTCTGCTATAGTTCACTAATATGATACATCCCACGGGATGTGCAGCGGGGAGTCTACGAGCCTTTCTCAGTCAGGAGACCCGCGTGGCTGGAAAATCTAACAATTATGGTTACAAGGGATACGCCTTGCTCAAACTACGATAGAAAAAAAGACAGTGCAACACTGAGGGTACACTCATACTATGCGATTGCAAGGCAGCAATCCAGGACACCAACAGCACACAACAGGTCGATGCATACAATGAGCTGATCAACTCAACAAGACAAAAAACAACTAATGGAACTCAAACAGATGGGGCAGAACATTCAGCAACGTTAACACGTGGAGAGCGAGAGGCTTCAGAGGACTTCATCCTCCACTGTGGAAGATATGAGAAACAAAAACAACGGCTTCTAAATCAAATCGACAGTATCTACAAAAGCTATGGCACCAACGGAGCAGGAAGAACGGTGGACATAGCAACCCAAGCAGGACTGAGGGGAGTCTTGGGAGACGACATGAACAGAATTCAGCCTTTTCTAAGTACTCTTATAGAGGCTTCGGCCAGATTTGAAGATGAATAGGGATCTACCTACAAAGACACGAGTGCAAAGAACCAGTGAGCAGAGCATCCTGATCCAAAAAGCACCATGAAGAAAAGCACCTGGACACCACGCGCATACAATATACGTTAAACAAGGACAACAACAACAACATGATACATGTGTATGCTGACATTGCCGTCTGAATTGCAGCTTTGCTTCCTGCCATTGCTTGCAATGCCAGGAAGTAAATTCATAATTCATCGGATACTATTCAATAAAATTACAATGCTGCTAAATGTTGTCTCATCCCTTAGATATTATTTAGATTCTGAAACAAGGTTTATGCGAATTCCAGGTACTGAAGTATTATTTTGTGTGGCTAAGCTGTGGGTTTGTGTGAATGTATCTGCAGTGTAGGTTGACAGGACATGGGTGGGGGAGGGGAAAATTGACAGTAAGAAATTTGGTGTCCCTAAACCAAAAAAAAAAAACGCAACAACATCAATTCCAACGTACAAATGTGATCAATATGTGTGTTCAAAGAAAGCTTTTCGTCTATCACGACTCCAAGAAAGTGTGTAAAACTTATTATTTTATTGATTTTTTATACACTTTGTCATGTATGTACATGTACATGTACAATGTAAAATTCTCTGTACTCTAGCCTGGGTACCATCCCCAGTAGTATATTCGCAAACTCTATAACCAGTTATAGAGTTTGCGAATATACTACTGGGGATGGTACCCAGGCTACTGTACTCTGGAATGCATAGAAAAACAATAATCATTCTACTACAATTTTCTCTGGTGAATTGCACCCCTTATAATTAATGGTACCACCGTAGTTACGTCACCGTGATCACACCTCAAAGCGTCATGGAACATGACATGACTTAGGAGCAGACAACTATAGGTGTGGTTACAAATTCGCCTATGTCACGGACTAAACCATTATTTTTCACGTCGATTAACTCACTTGGAAAATGCCGTTTAAGAGAGCTAAAACAAACGAAGGTCCCTCCCCTTCGTAAAAGTTGGGATCGGTTGCAAAAATGCACAAAAATGGGAATTTGTGCAACTGAAGATCACATGGCACTGTCTGGTTCACTCATCTGTACTTCTATGTCGACACCCATGTCAGAGGCCAAACATTGACATTTGCACAGTCTGACTCACAGTGCTTGAACAGACAACTCACAAGTCATTTTCACGCGGAAGTTTTTCCGTGGCGGATCAGTACTGCGATCTCTAACACAAGTTGTCGGCCATTTCGACACGAAGGTAGGAATTTATTTACTGCAAAAATTCTGCTTTGCCTAGCTACATACACAAAGTTATTACTCGTTGATTTTCATGCTAGAATGCATGTTTAAATGCGGTGCATAGTACGTACATGTAGATGATACGTCTGTTTTAAATGAGGATAACAGTTAAGAAAGAGAGTAAGCGTAGAAAACGTTTTCTGCGCTTTAAAATGTCCTTGCTGAAAGCATGGACTTAAAATGTCGGAGGCCTAAATGTGTTGTAACCCCATGCTGAAAGCTTCGTTCTGCCGCGGGTTGCAAATATATAACGTTCGGCTCCAGTGTAACGAAATATTTTCTTTCCTGGTAAGGCAAGCTGTCTTCTTATGTGTTCTTTGATATTATTTAACAATTCACTGCATTGGAATGTTTATTCCCCGGCAATACTTATTATGATACAATATTCAAGCAGACGTGAAGTGCTGCGGGGTAGTGATGCTGATATTCTGGCACACTGAGTTTAAATCTGCAAAGCTACCTTGAAGAATCTAGGGCTCATTTTAGAGACACTGTGTTTGCAAATGGCCTTATTGTGTCCATAACTTCCAGAGCAGATAGACAATCTAGGGTGTGGTTACAAATGCACTATTGTCACGGACTCGACCATTTATCACGTCGATAAAATCATTAGGAAGATTTAAGAGGCGATAAAAATTATGGTCCTTCCTTATCGTAATTGTAGTTACCAAAATGCAAAAAAAAACAGAAGTTAGCAAAATCATAGATCACACGACACTGTCTACTTCACTCATTAGGAAGCTTTAATGTCTATTTATTGCGACTCCCATGTCAGATGTGAAACTTTGACATTTTAAGTCTGCCTCTCAATGCTTGAACAGACAAGTAAGCCATTTCATTCAGAACTGATTCCGCGGTGCGGTTGGTTATACACACACACGCGCACACACACACACGCACGCACACACACACACGCACGCACACACACACACGCACGCACACACACACGCACACACACAGACACACACACACACACACACACACACTCGTAACATGTGTAACAATACTGTAGTTGTCATACATTGTGCAATATGATGAAGAAACAGTCGACATACTGCCTGTTTTCCTCGCATTTCTATTTTCACTATGCCCATGACGATATGCAACTATTCTAACTTGCCATTATAAGCCTAACATGTATGGTAAGGCAATCACAATGACTACAAGTTTCCATTTGTACCCACAAATATTTTTTCGTTCAAGTATTATCAGGAGAAAAGATGGAGAAAAAGACGGCGTACTGTCTGTTGTTCCTGGTGCTCCTGGTGCCGTACACCGCCCTGGGCGCCGTGCTGAAGCGGTCCCCGCAGCAGGAGAGGGAAAAGCGCGTAGCGGCAATACCCCTGGTGTACTGGGGCGCCACGGTGTCCCCCTCCGTGTGGTACTGGCTGCTGGCCTCCTTTGGTGCTGCTGCCGTGACGGCTGCGGGAACTAAACTCTCCGGTATCCTTTGTGTAACGTTAGCTTTCTTTTAAATCAATCGGCAGAGAAGGAACCTACAGCAAGAAGGCATTTAGCCCTTATCTTCAGACTCAAACTGCGATGCATTGTACATAAAACGAAAGCGACACTCGTTAAGCAAAAATTTGTATCCATGACGTTTTATTGAGGCGTTAATCATTGAGCAACATCATGAACAAAATCATTGTGGAGTAAGTATGTTTGCTTCAAATGCTGCAAACTGTGCGCAATAGTAGGTATGGCCCTGGAAAGGGCGCACTGTGTGCTTAATGGTAACTAAGTGGAAGACAAGGGGCCCGAGGGCTATGAAAAGGAAGGTACAATGATATCATAGTTCACATGATACTACATTCAACAACATACGTGGTATTAATTTTGTTGGGTTTGACTTCTTCTTTTCAGGCAGTGGGAGACGAATTTACCCAATTTATTTATAATATGTGGGTTCTTTGATTTTAGTAGTAAAATTGTTTTCTCCTGATGAGGTATAGTGGGAAAGAAGTGGTGCAATTTGAACACGACGGTAAATAGTTTGGTTTATTATATCATTATAGAGTGAACAAATAGAAATGAAATGATTTTCGTCTTCCATTGCATCTAAGGAACAATATTTAGAAATCCTCTCCGACACAGGTAGTTTCATGTATCGCCCTTTTTCGATTTCCAACGGGTGGACACTCATTCTAATCTTACTGATAGAGGAGCGCTGCTCGGAGTCACAGTGTTCAAGATATATATTTTTTTTCAATACAATATTCGGTTTTACATTTACTAAAAAATCTCAGCTTAACGGTATCAACAGACATAGTATGGAAGAAAGATTATAAGTTGTACTAGTAACCTTGACCGCTGCACCAGACAGGGAGGGCCACAGCTGTGGCGGCTTCTGGAACCAAGGATATTGCCGCACCGCCTGCTTTCCCCACGAGTACATCGACGACTATCACTCGGCCGTCTGTAATGAGCCCGCAGGGTACAAATGCTGCCGCCCTCGGTAAATATAAAAAGTACATCCGGATATATATCACATGTATATGAATGTATGGGCAAAGTGCCGTCTTTGTCAACATTTGCGTTCGTTCAGTAGAAGAGAGTTGAGTGACTGCTGCGCCGAGCTATGTCAACGTTTTAGATGTTCATGCATGTATCGAGCCTGGGTGCCAAACGCTGGCGTTCATAAGCGATAGATTTTTCTTTTTTTGGGGGGGGGT